AAGTTTGTGTTTGAAGTGGTTACGAATGCATTTTCTATGTTTTGTGAATCAAAGGGAAGTCTGAAATAAAACTGAATTTGACTAGGTATGATACACTCTTGACAGTGACTTATTTTTGACTACATTAATTGAACTGCCAACACTTTAATTCACATGTATAGGGACCTCGGACATGGACAGCCCAGGTTTTCGTCTGAATCCAGGTTGGAGTCAGTTACGGAGAAGCTGAAGACATTGTTGGGTGGGCCGGCACAAACCAACAATGGAATTTCTGCACGACTGCCTTAATCCTGAAAAGGATCTTCACCTCAGTAGCAAGAAACCTTGGACCATTCCATAATGAAATTTAGAGCGGACCATACTCAATTGGGCTGAGGTATTTGTTTATACCTACAAATGTCACAAATAGGACCAAAGTCACACCTGCAGTTTGACAGTGATCATACTTATTCTTTTTCCAAACCTGTGAAACAAAGCCTGCCTTAAACCTGAAAACATGCATTTCTGTCAGTAAATGCTTTATTCTTTGTCCTCATAAGTCACTGATAACTTATCCAAGTATTAACTGGTGGGTTTCTTTTCAATGTGATCAAAAAAGAATTTCAATAAGGCAGTATGTGTTCTTGTTATTTTGTTTGCTATGATTGTAAAGTGGTTGGATTGTATGAGCTGAGTGATTTTCAAAGGGACTTTAACAACTGATTGAACATGCCAGCAGGAATTCACACTTTCTGTATTGAAATATTTTAGTATTGCGGTGTAAAATAAAAGTTTTGAGTTTTTAATCACCTGTCGTCTCTCAATGTAGATAAAATTCTAGATTAAGTATTTTTCTAACTGGGCTCCACCTCTAGCTCTTTTTTTCTTTATTTTTTTTTTTACAATGCCTTCAATTCAATTGATTTTGACATTTAAAATATAAAATTTAAATATGCTAGTAAGTGCCCTGCACTTGGTAGTGTTGAAGCTGGCTGGTTGGTAGGTGTAGTTTTAATGCCCTCCCTGTTGATGGTGCTAATATGCTATTTTGTAAACGCTTTTGGGACAAGACTCATTTTATGTATTGAAACCTATACCTAATAACCTTTCGTTTGTAAAGGGTTGTTGGAGATTTTGTGTTTTTTAGATTTGTTTACACACCAGCTGAGGAATACTAAGAATCTAAATGAAAGCAATTTAGATTCTTAGTCCTCAGAAATAACATTGGGATGCCCAGTGAAAGACAAGAAGCTTGCAGAGCATTGTATACAATGCAAACCTAAAATAAATTCCTGCTGGATGTCATCAACTGCAGATATTATGAAAGACACTTTTTCATAACAATTTAGAAAATGGGCCTAAAATGTGACATCAGTTCCTTGACCTGATGGAGGACAGGGTTTCCAGGAGGGGGAGGGTTATTTGAAAAAAAATCTCTGAAGGGTGAGGGTAATGGAAAATCCCATTTTTGGTATGAATTATTTGAAAAAGAAAAGGGTACAGTTCATAAGACCTGTGCATTAATTTCGGTTACAACAAAATGAAATGCTTAAAGAGCATAATTTACAAATGTGGTAAAACTTTCTAAAACAGAATTTTAAATCTGAGCTGCGTGAAACAGAAGTCCTGATCAGTTTTATTTATGTGAAAATAAAATACTAATGATAAGAGAAAGGACTGTACAGGTCTCTAGAATAATTAAATCCCTGTAATGGTTTTACCTTCACACCAGGCTCTGAGGTTCATTAATTTCCTGCATCAAAGAAAACACTTGCATACAGACAGCCATGAGCCACAAACATCTCTATGTATAGCTGCAGTTCAATTGAAGCTCGCTGCTGGGAATGCAGTGTGAATGATGTGCTTTCTCCCGCTGCTAGCAGGCTGAGAAGGTCTTCCAGAGGAACTTCATGCAGGGTGGTCCATTCCGGGAGACGATGTGGTTTCTGAGGGTCCTCTATGCCAGCGTCTCACTGAGGTACTTCACTGAACCCAAATTGTAGCTCAGTCATTCCTGAAACCATCTGCTGCAACTCCCTCTGCTCCTCTGCAGTTTCTAATGACAGACAAACTCAGGTTCAACCTTTTAAATCTTTCTAAAAAATGTACAGGTAAAGGTGCATTTGATACATAAAGGCAGAGTGAGGACAACAACACAGCTAAAATTGTAGATATTGTAGGAAGCTACAAAACAAACCTCTTATACTGTTGCAATACTAGATTGATCCCACAGAAATCACCAGATTAAACATTTTAAGAAGACTATTAACTGACCTGACTGTGTGACAGTGCTAGGTTGTTATTGTTTGTTACAACATGAATAATATCTCCGTACGTACTATGAACACCAGACAAATAAGAGTCGCTATCTCTTATCTCTGATTTGAACCCCTGCTGCCTGATTTATGGGCCCTCGCTCAAAGGTATGATCATCCATATTAAGCAACTCTCCATGAACCCACCTAATTTTATCATGTCTTGTGGTCTTATTTATCCTCATTTGGTAAGAGCAGTCTGTTAATGTTCAGTTAAGAGAACCTGAACCTGTGTAACATGAGGTATTGTCTTATTTAGTTTAATTCTGATTCACTACAACAAGAAGTGGACCACCTTTAAAAAGTAAACACCTTCTGAAAGGGAGAGCTGGAGAATGAAATTCAGGTCGTAGTTCCCTTTATGCTACTCGTAAAAAACGAAAAAAAATATATATACGGTGAATCTGATGAATCGGTTGTATAAATAATTTTACATGATGGAGTGCTGAGGATGAATTAAGCAGTCTCACAGCCTGATGGAAGAGGCCGTTCTTAAGGCTGCAGAGCAGATTCATCTGTGTCTCTTTGTCTGACAGCAGCAGGGTGAACAGGTTGTGGTGGGGTGAGGTTGGGACTGTCTTTTATTATCTTCTGGCCTTTGTGTAGGCACCTCACCTCTCCAGTATCACTGATACTCGGTAGATGAGTACCATTGAAGTGAGTACCAATGTAGTGCTTGTTCCTCTGTAGCAGGGACCTCCATTGTTATCCAAAAACACATCAATAAGCCACTGTTACACTGGGTTCCTTCATTATGATGATCAATAGATGATGAGTCTCACAGACACTCCCCTGCTGCCTGTGGCTGAATATAATCCCCATCAAATGCACTATTTTAAAGTATTTGAGTGAATTAAAATTTTAAGGAAATTATAGTCTACTTTATATATTGATGATCATTTTTGAAAGATTTACATCCCCAGCAGGAACCAGTGGACTGAGGCAGTCTTGTTGGTTTTGGTCTTTTTATGAAAATGTACTTGTTTCGATATTCACCATCATTTGGATGAACGTTGTTGTCCACATCAGAAATCCAGGAAGAAGAAAGCGTTTGATCTTGAAGAAATCAATTTGCATCTGTTGTCCAGTCTTCCTCCTGCTTCATTATGCATCATCATGCTGTCTGGTGTTGCCCTGCTGCCTGCTTCGTCTGCAGATGACTCAGCGAGCCTCATCCTCCACCTGCACTGCCTTCACTGAGCTCTAATAGCCTCTTGTCCTCTAATGCAACCTCTGCTCGCCATCAGGCCTCATTAAGAAGGCCATATTGTGGAGACTGTTCTGTCTTTTGGATTAATTAAGCTTTAAAGAAAAGCAATAGGAACACAGACATTTATTCTTTATTAACCAATGGGATGAATCCAAATAACAGAGTAGAGGGGCCTCCTTGAGGGCCGACAGTTAAAAACCTCACTCTGATACTGGAGTGGCGTGTTTATGGTATTTGAAGTGTACATATGTAGTCAAGCATGTGAATGACAGTGTTTATATTGTTTGTTCTGCTGTGTTCCACTTCAGGATCAAAGCTCTGACATGAGGAGTCAAATGAGGAGGGACTTTGAAGCGTCCCAGGACGGTTTGAATAGAAGCTTGATGGTAAACATCAACCTGGCAATCACCAGAGCTATCGCAGCACAGGTGCACTGAGGTGAGGCTTTGTTTACTGTTTAACAACAGGTGTAATAGCAGCTGTGACACACTCCTGTCAGATACAACATCCCTCACCGCTGTGGGGGTGAAAACAGCGATGTTTATTTCAGCAGTGCAGCTGATAATCCCATGGCAAGGCTACGGAGAGCACAGGAGGGAATAGAGTAATAAAAGGTGTAAATTATTTATTTAGTTTCTTAAAAGACGCTTCACTAGAACAGAATGTGTCTGTGCGGAAACTGACCTTAATGAATTATCTACTCACAGACATGTATTTACCTTTTTTAGTCAAAAACGTACTAGAGTTTGTTTAGTTCTATGGCATTTTTTGGCTGATGACCCCTTACAATGAAATCTTTTTAATCAAAATCTTATATCTCTACTAGAGAACCAAGTGATCAAGTGACCAAGTGACCAATCAACACCTGTACAATTTAAACATTAACATTAATAACCTGTCTTTATTTATAAAGTTCAGTTTTTGTCTCAACTCCTGTTGTTTTTTTTAATCTTTCAATATATTGCATTAAAGAAAACATGTGACAGGGTCTTAGTGCCACCTGCTGGACAACACATGAAATTGGTTCAAGTACACATTTCACTGGGGGCGGGGGGGGGCATTCATTGTAATCCAGTACAACCGAGGTCATGTTTACATGTTAGTCGGATATATCAAAACCAGATTTTACATTTCTGTTACATTTACTGTAAAGTTAAGCCACAGGCCAAAGAGGAGGTCTATCTTTAAAGACATGAATTCCTAATTTTGACTATTTTGAGCATTTTCACAATTTTCTGAGCAGCCTAAGTGGAGCTGTGCACTTTCTAATTTGTATAATGATATAATGATTAATATTCACCGTATATATCCACACCTGTATTTATACGCACAGAACAGCTTAGTGTCTGTCTTCCACCAGACAGACCTTTTAAACTGAATATCCTCTTCATATATCAGGCAACTTATGTCACTTGTTGCCTAAATTAGAGCTACACACGAACACATCTCAATCCTGTTTACAGCACACAGAGAGTAAGGACCATACAAGCTAATTATAAAGGGATTGAAATCTTTATTTAGCCTAATACAGTACAGTGCAACGGTTCACCTTAATCCAGTGTTAACATGGTGAACCCTGGGCCCAGCATGACTGGTGAACATTAGCCTGATGGCCAGCATGATATTAATAGCATCCAGATGGAGTAAACACTTTGGTGCGCTTCCTCTTTTGACTGATAAAAGTCTCTACACCAGAACACACAGAGTATAGAGTTTACAACACACAATCTATGATTCTACTGCTTGATAAATACAACTGCAACACATCTCTTGAGAGGAGTAAAAAGTTGGATACGGTAATTGTTTGGGTGGGGTGGCTCTTAAATATTCAGGCATGGTTATGAAGATGGAATGTGTCTTCTTTGCTCACAGATAACTTCCCCTCGTCCTCGGCCCTCCATCTTGTTTGTGTTTTTGAGTGATGTGAAGATGATCTTTAAGCGTTGTAGGATGAAGAGGACACATTGCCACCGTGGCCCGTCCAGTTGGTGTGGATATAGTGACCGGGGTTTGACAGCAGTTCATATGTGTGGGCTCCAAAGTAGTCCCTCTGGGCCTAAAAAAAAACCCATAACACAACATAAATGATCTCTGACACATTTCACTTCCAACAGGAATGCAACTAATTATTAATTTAACTACTAAATATGTCCATCTTCAAATTGCTTGTTTTGTTCAGATATACAATCTACAATGATATAAACAAGGGGAAAGCGGCAAACCTCACATTTATATTTGACATTTTTGTGTGATAAATAATTAAAATTGACAAAGTGTTTCACTTCACAGATCAGCTGCATGTTTTCAGTTCTCTATATTTATATGTTGAGTCCAAAAACAGATGAGTAACGTAGTTTTAAACACAGTGTTTACTGTCGGGGTCTTAAATCCCTAAGATCCCAACAGAAACACACACACACAACACTTACACGTGATCTTTTTAATCTGATACACACTCCGCCATATGCTCAGCAGGCTCCGCTCTGCAGCATCTACTGTTTACTGTTTACTGTCTTACCTGGAGGAGGTTGGCTGGCAGCTTTTCATGTCTGTAGCCATCATAGAAGGACAGAGCTGTGGTGAAACAGGGCATAGGGAGGCCATGCTGGACTCCAGTGCTGACTGTTCTGCGCCATGACTCCTAAACAAAGAGATTGAACAGTGTTTTTGTCGATAGGGCTAATTTGGTGTTAATGTTGTCGTGTTCCTGCAAAGCCAAGAACAAGAGATCTGCAGTTCCCAGTAAAGTGTGAAGTGCAGAGAAATATGATATTGACTGCTTTTTGACAAATGTTGCTATATGATTCACGAGTGCAATGATCATTTTTGTATCACAATTTCCATTTTCACTGCAAAAATATTAAAAGCGCAAACACGTTTTCTTACATTTGAAAACAAGATTTATAGGCCAGGGCATCTCTGCAGTACTTGTCACACATTTTACCTTTATCATTACATGGTCATATGGTGATATTTTATTTAATTGTGAAGCCCTAATCATGCTGCCTCCAGTGTTTAAGTTCCATCTCTATTTGGGTCTGTTTGGGTCCACTCAGGTCTGACAGTCAACTCTCAGAAGACATTTTGGATGATGTATAAACAACTAATAAATCCACTGTGTCCTTTCCTCAACAATATAGTGTAAAAGGAAACCAAGACTTGATACTGTTCCCTCCTTTCTATGTGAAAGAGGAAATAACTTGTTTTGTGTGTCTTTGTCAATGTGGGTATTGCAGATTGGTCTTTGGCCACTTCCTCCTTCCTCATACCTGACAGTCCTGCACAGCATTACTAAAGAAGGTGTCCAGCAGCAAGTTCTGCAGCTCAGCGTCCCTGTCGAACGCCTCTTTGATTTTACCCAGGAACACACTGGTGGGGAGGAGAGAGGGCAGTGTTAGCCAACACAACAGAGAAAAGATTTTGCATACAGTAAATGGGACATTTCATTAATAACTGTAAAATGCATTGAGCAAATACCATAACTGAGCACAACGTCTTTGCTACAATGCACAGGTTGCATGGTGGCTACATAATGCAAGTCATACTGAGTGTTGTATTTGATTTAGGTTTATGCAACCTCTTTGCCAGATTACACAAAGCAAACCAGTGTCACAACCATAAATTTCCTCATTCGTCTCTCAGTCTGACTTCACAGGAAGGGTCATATTTTATTTGATCTAGATTTCTCACTCCCGCATTACACATAGGGCAGCGATAAAATAAACCTTTATGGCGCTACATTTAGACTTATCTTTACAGTGAGTTGCCCTGCAATTAAAAAGAAAACATCTATTTTCTAAAATCTTACATCAACTGCTTACTCAAGAAGTTCTCTCTTACACTGCCTAACCATAGTTTTCACCATCAGTGTGAAAGATGCCTGTTGACATAAAGTTGCACAAGGGAGCTGGGGAGGCAAAGTTGCAATATGAAGACATACAGGGGTTAAATGTACCTTCGAATGATGCAGCCTCCTCGCCACATCAGAGCGATGGCGCCATAGTTGAGGGACCAGTCGAACTCTTTGGCTGCCTGCCGCAGCAGCATGAAGCCCTGTGCGTAGGAAATGATCTTGGAGGCGTAGAGGGCCTGCAGAGAGAAAAAAAGAATCAAGTAATGATGGTATAGTAACACAATTTGAAATGAACATAAGCTAAAAGCTAAAAGTTGTTGATTGGCAGTGCTTGAAAATGTTTCTAATAATAATTATAACCTTCATGAAGGTATTGCAAGACCTTTTGTATTAGAGTTTAAGCTAGGTTTATGTAGTACACTGACTACTAAGTGTGTACTATACTGTGTATTCTACCTTTCTGATGTCCTCCAGGAACGCAGCCTTGTCACCGCTGAATTTGACCCCCTGGGGTCCTGAAAGGCTGCGGCTAGCCTCCACTCTCTCATCCTTTAGAGAGGACAGGCATCTGGCAAAGACAGCCTCCCCTGAAACAGAGACAGAAAGGGAGGAAGAGTAGAAGAGACAGAGGAATAAAGAGAGACAACAAGGTTAGCTCTCTGCGTCACAGTACTGGAGCGTCACACAAACACAGAGGGGAGTCTGTCATTTAGTCATTTCCAGAAACCTCTGAAAACAAATGATTATTATTATTATTATTATTATTATTATTATTGCCAATGCTGTGCTAAAGACAGACAAGTCATGGCTGTCCACCACTACAGTAGAAAAAAGAAAATCAGGGATTGCCAGTTGCCACATTAAAAAAAGCCTCTATATGAAGAGAAGAGAAAAAAGTGTTGGGTAAGCATGACTTGCTAAAACTGCACGACCATGTGACGCAACCCCACAGACAGGCAGACAGAGAGGCAGAGAGGCAGAGAGGGAGAGAGGGATTGAGAGAAATAGTGTCCAGTGAGTGAACTATCGTGGTGAGGAATGTTATCCCTATTGGGGGCAGAAATCCAGCCATGCATACTGTACCGGCCTGTCAGCCTGCTCCACACAGACCAGCTCAGCTCTCTCACAATGAAGCCTTTTGTACTGCCCCTCTCTCTCTTTATCACAACATCTACGGCACTGACAAAGGGTAGAGCAAACAAATAACTTCTTAAAAACCTAAACTGACCAATGGTTGCAGGTATTTGGTGTCTACATGATCTGAAAGGTGTCAGAGCTGATGTAATGACGCCTTTTTTTCCTGGATTAGTAATCGTGCTTTCTGACCCCCATTTTGTCCATGTTTATGAAACAGACTATCATACAGTCAAAGCAAGCACCTCAGAGAGCATCACAAATCCCCCTTATGTCACTTGAGATGAGCAGGCCACTAGAAAAGCCCTCAATCTTCTTAGTGACAGTCACATATTGATCACATTCCCCAGAAGGAGGACACTAGACACTAGACACTAGACACGCCGTGTGTCAGCTAACTGGCAAAGATACACATTATCCCCATAACACTGATCATGAGGCCTACTGCCCTTTAATTTGTTGAAGCCATGCCTGAAATTTTAACAGGAGTGACATAATACCTTTTGCCATGTCATCATGACAAAGAGTTTACTGGAAGCAGCCAGCATCGGAGGAAGGGAGAAGGAAACAAGGTACTTCCTCGTCTACAGCCTCCTTTCTTCCTCTTACCGATCAAAGTGACAGGTGTGCCGTACTCCAGGGCTGAAATGGCCGTCCACTTCCCTGTGCCTTTCTGTCCAGCGCTGTCGCGGATCTTGGGCAGCAGGTGTGTCCCATCAGAGTCCCTGAATTTAAGGATGTTAGCTGTGATCTCGATGAGGAAGGAGTCCAACTCTGTCTTGTTCCAGTTGTCGAAAGCCTGATGTGCGTTTCAGTGTGTTGAAATATAGTTAGCAACATTGTTTTTTTATACAGAACTGGCACGACACACAAAGAAATACTAATGAAGATAACATTATTCAGCTCACCTGTGCCATCTCATCGTGGTCCATACCCAGGATGTCCTTCATCAGGTGATAGGCCTCGCAGATCAGCTGCATGTCGCCATACTCAATGCCATTATGGACCATTTTCACAAAGTGACCCGCACCCTCATCTCCGACCTGCAGAAGCAACCAGTCAGATCACTGCGAGATGATACTAGTAAACATTACATAGTCAACACAAATGCAATGCCACTCACCCAGTCGCAACAAGGTTCTCCTGTTCCGACCTTGGCAGCGATGCTCTGGAAGATGTCTTTAATATGTGGCCTTCAAAATAAAAGTGTAAATGAATTTCCTCACACGCTGCAACAGACGATGGAATCTGAACGCTCAGAGATATTCACCCTTTCTCAAATATGTCCAACGTTATCAGCAGTAAACATATTTGTTTTAGCGTGTCTGTGCCCCAAGTCCAACATCTAACATGCAGCTGAAAGTGTGAGGAGTTTGTGATGACTCACCAGGCCTCCTTATGTCCTCCTGGCATGAGCGAGGGTCCATAACGCGCCCCTTCCTCTCCACCACTGACCCCGCTGCCGACAAACAGCAAGCCCTTCTCTTTCAGACTCTTGCACCGCCGCTGTGCGACAGAAACACACAAATACTGTGAGAATATCCTCAACCAATAAATAAAAATGCACTGGTAAACAGCGACTCTCTACCACTTACTGTTGTGTCTCTGTATTCAGAGTTGCCACCGTCGATGATGATATCCCCGGCCTCCAGAAGAGGAACCTGAAGAAGAACAAAAGCCAACTGTTTAACCAGGCAGGTCTCACATTTTCTACACCTGATTTTAAAAACATTTCAGAAACAAACTACCGACCAGTTTGTCGATGAAGTCGTCCACAGCCTGTCCAGCCTTGACCAGCAGGACGATCCTCCTGGGCTTCTTCAGCTTGGACACCATGTCCTCCAGAGACTCTGCTCCGATCACCTTGGAGCCCTTCGCCTCATTCTTCAGGAAGTCGTGAACCTTGGACACGGTGCGGTTGTAAGCACAGACCTGTTGGAGAGGTTTGGGGATTACTCGGTGAAATAAAAGAGAACAGGTTTTACTGGCAGGAGTTGCGGAAATAAACCCAGGAGTTATCATCTTACCACGAAGCCATGGTCATTCATGTTCATGATGAGGTTCTGGCCCATGACAGCCAATCCAATCAGTGCAATGTCTGCTCTGTGAGGAGGAGAGTGACAGTCACATTTACTGTAGGGCTCTGATGGGCATCTGATCCCAGGCTGAACATCAACAAGAGCTTATGAAAACAGGCCATTTTCTTCAATAACATTTCTGCCATCATTACATGTTTGCTCTAACGCAGCATGTCGGTCAGGCCCTTCAATCTTCATGTTAAATGACGTTTCACATGTATTTTTAACTAAACACTAACGCGGGTTAGCTGCCGAGCTAACAGCTCCGTTTACACTACTTAACTGAACCAGAAGATTACTCTTAAAAACCCCACAATGATCTAAGCACTGGTATAATCAGCCACACTTCCACTTTACCGACTATATAAAGCAGTAGAAACTAATGCAGGAACTTACTGAGCCATGGTGTTCAGCGGGTAAGAGCAACTGTGAAGTAACAGTGTTGAAACGGGAGTCGGACTCACACACTGATCCACTTCACTTCAGATTTCCTCCTCGCTCGTTTTTTTAACTTCCTTGTTCCCCTTCCAGCGTGACGCGGACGACGACGAGCTCACGTACGCCTACGTAGAGTATCCGCCAATCAGATGACGACCAGCGAACTGAAGCGATGTCGTTCTCGAATTCTCATTGGTCCAGAAACCTGAGCAGAGGTATCTGTTCTCCTATTGGTTCCTCGGGCCGTCATTCATTACACGTAAGCGCACACCCCTCAAGTGAGTGGATCCCGTTTATTTGAGGACACAAGTGCGTCTGCTGAAGTACTTTAAGTACAGTTTTAAAGGTACTTGTATTTTGTTTAATTATTTTCATGTGCTACTACTTTATAAATTCTATTTCACTTCATTTCAGGAAGAAATATTGTCCCCTTTACTCTGTTACATTTAGGCTATTCGACAGATTCTACTCACTAGTTACTTAAAAGTAGAATTTTACATTAAAAAAACACATGAACTAATACAATGTATTGCTGACCCCTTACATAAAAGCAGTTTGGGCCCCTTTTCACAGTGCAGATGTTAGAATATACACAGCTAAAAGCACAATATCAGCTAGATAGAAATGTTCTGCCCCTATACGCTATATGTCATGCCCCAAGAGTGATCTTTAACTCACACTGAGAGTCCCAGTCTTATTTCCATGCAGAATGGGATTTCACACAGTTAATAAAGCATTCCTAATTTCTTCTACTACTGGAGATCAGTGACAGATCATGGGAAAATGACTGCACTGAACTGGTTTAATGTCAGAAAGTCTTTACGTGCATGAGAGGCAGGGAGGATGAAGTTGTGCTTGAGTAAAGAATCCAGATTAAAAGTACTGTATGAATATAGTTTTTTCTTTTTTGTGCAATGGAAAGTCTGTTATATATTTTAATTGATCAGAGAGTGCATTATAATATAGACTGATGGTTTTACACAATGCCATGAAGCCCATTCCTGGCAGAAAATGAAAAAAACAATGGTAAAAATAATGATAAAAACACCCATTGTAAATCAAAATCTACCTTTGGTATACTAATTGATTAGTAATCAATTAGTATACCAAAGTGCTTAATTTTGACTTACAAAAAAAAGCATTAAATAAAGTCATAATTAAGAGATAAGTCAAAATGTTTACATTTTCTGTCAAAACTAAGAAAGATATAAGTCAAAATGAAAAGATGAAATCTCTCTTAGATACTAAGATAAATAATAATAATAAAATAAAATAAAATAAAATGTTTACTTTAAAGCTCCAAACTATGAGAGCACACAAGAGTTCAGGAAATTGTAAAACGTAAAAACATGTTAAGATGGGAGTCAAACTGCACAAAGGAGAAGACAAACAGGCAGTACTTGTTCTGCTAATGCACAGTTTGCACTTTTATTGTTGCCTCATTCACTAAACAGTTCAATGGTGCAAGATTACCATACACAGAATTAGGATATCTGCATGACACATCTATGCTATACAGCGAATGGATTATAATTATTACAAATACAGTAAACATATTTACATTTTAATTCAAGCTCCATACAACACAGATATTTACAAAATAAGTATGAAAATGAAACCAGTCTGACAAATAATGTACAGTGTTAATGTCATGGTTTTTCTTTTTCTTTTAGTGAACAAATCCAAAGGGAACGCAGTAAACTGATATTAATTGTCAGAGGGGAAAATGAAAAATATCATGGCTAGTTTTGTTTGAAAGGCATCAACGGAAAAATAAAAGTGTTGAGGTGAAGAAAGACACCAGCACAACAATAGTATACTGTCATTTTAGATGTCACTAGCTACTTTTTATTATATTCCCTGATATTAGAAAAAATAAAATGAGTTAAAAACCACCCTTATTTTGTAATAATTCAAGTGGCTGGCTAGCATGAGTAGTGAATATTTTTCAAATCAAAAGCAGACTTCCACTCAAACCACTTTCTAATAAAGAGGAAGCACTAATGTAACTCACCTCCCCTGAAAAGATGCAGTGGGTTACATTTTAGTTCTCTTTTTTAATCCTTTTTTTTTTAATGATGGAAAAAACACACGTCTTCATAGTACATTCAACGCTCTCCCAGTTCAGACTGGAAGAGGCTGCCACACCATCATTTGGTTCACTCTGAGTAGAACAACTAAACCGCACAGACTTTATTTGATCAGTTAGTTGAACCTTTTATTGATATGTGCAAAGAGCTGCAAACTAATATATACATTGCAAACAATAAATACACAATCCAAAATAATATACCTCTGCAACTTAGTCACTGAAGTGAAAATGTTTGCTCTGACAGGTATTCATATCGATATGTATCTCACACACGTGGAGCACGCTGAGGTTAATGTGAGGTACGTTGCACTTTGAGCCTTGATCAGTGCATAGCTGGTTTTTTCATTATTATTATTTTTACACATGTTGGTTTGTTGACAGACAAAACATCTTCTCAGAAACAATTCAGCAGCTTTTTGTTTCTCTGACCTGTAGGTTGGCTGACCTGAGGGCAGTGACGCTCTGCACTTTTCATTCATTCTGACTTCTGAGGTTAATGTTCTCTGTCTTCAAATCAGCAAACAATGAACATATCACCAATAATTCCACAAAAAACTTGTAACAGGCGACGGCTGCCTCCGTTTCAACACATTTAACCCTAATGTCTCTTTCGTATGATACAGTAGGCATACTGCTGGTTGGCTGGCCAGAGCTTTTACTGCCCATCTGCACTTATCACACACACTTGTACCATTTGTTGAAACAAGAGGCACCAAAAATATCATAATTTACTAGGAGCCAAATGTAGCAGCTGTAGTACGGTGTACAGAGCAAATATTTTCATAAACAATATCAGGAATAAAACATTTGAGTATATGTCGTCCCTTTAATATCACTTCTTTCTTCTAGTAAACCTTTTTTGACAAACAGCTATCCAGTGTAGCCTTGATATGTGTTCCTGATACTCAGAAATAATCTTGGACTCAACATGTGTGATCTGCCCTCGTCTTGCTATAGATATGTGTTAATGTGCAAAATAACGTTAAACACCAGTATAGTTGGTTAGAAATTAAGAAATAAATGCCCTCTGTTACATTTCATATAAAACTTCCCTGTGGAATGATTAAAAGCATAATAGAAAAAAAAAAACAATCAACAATGTTAATAATTAAAAAAAAAAAGTCAACCCAGTGAGAGTTAAGAGGTTTGAATTCAAACAGAAAATGAACACATGGTAACCTGCGGTGCTGCTGAACAGAAAGTACTTCACTTTAGAGATTTTACCTGACACTATGATGACAGCAAGGGGAGTTCATAGACTATCATCTGTCCTGCAGGCTATGTGCTAGCAGCGTCATCAATAACTACTGGCGTCAAGGCTAAAGCATTGCAACTTCATTCTCTTTCTTACTTCTTCCTCCCGTTTCGCCATGTTCTGTTTTGTCTTCAGTATCACACGTACGTGATGGTTAAACTAAATATTAGCAAATGTTGAGACTCTCTTGAGGTCCGAGGCCCGACATGTTTGTGTAAGAAAAAAAAAAACTGCTAAGAACTAGAGGAGCTGAGAGGAATGTCTTAAATGAGAGTTAACTACCACACTGATCCCAGAACAGACAGTATGTACAAATCATGACCTTCTTCTTCCTACTCCTCCTCCTCATCTCCTTGAAACCCTGTTTTTTTATTTTAGTCTTGAGATGAAATAGCAAAAGGACAGGGACCAATATCTACTCCTGCAGGAACAATCAGAATCGTTTTCACTGCTTAGATATGAAATACTCTTCATATATTTTTGCATGTTTCTTCAGTTAGCGTGTATTTTTGATGTTGACACAAATGCATGTAAGTAATCACTCACTGACTGACGGCACTATCGGGGGGAGGGGTTGGAGCCGGTGTATGTACATGGACTGGGGAGTGGGTTCTAAATATCACACGGATGACAGTGGAAATCCAGTGCTGCCCTCACGTCTGGCTGATTTGGGACAAATTTCTCTGACTTGACATTTTGTTTCTAAAGGCCGTTTAGGAGGCGGTGGAGGGGGAGCTTGAGGCAGCGGCCTGATGCAAATCTCACGTAGAGAAGAAAAAACCTATGAATTCATTAGCAGCAATAGATCTCGATGTAGCCTTGCTTTCTGTAGCACAACTTAAAGTGATACATCACATGGAGATATTTTCCCCTTCATGTTTTCAACTGTAGATTATCTGATTTGTTTACATTTTTTTTGAGTAAGCAAACCTGGTCTTCTCCTGAGGACTGCTGCAGTTATCATGCGGGCATATTAATAAAAATAAAATAAAATAAAACTCTTCTCTAGAGACAAATAACACTGATAGAGACATTATTTTTTTTACAGATGATTGGCAAACTGAAAATTAGTGGCCTGAAAGAACAGTTTCTGAAGAATCGTGCACACACAAATAGACTATTACAACATGCTACTAGTTAGGGAGTTAGGGAATGACAACAAAGCGGAACAAAATTAGACCCAAACATTGTCATAAAAACAAAAACACAAAAAGCTGAGGAGGAGGAAGGGGAGAGAAATAGAGAGGAGGAAAGATAAGTTGGCAGAGGGTTGTTGGAGGGAGAGGGGGGAGGCAAATTCCTCTGGAACTGAAACTTTTAGTCGCATGAAAGGAGACTTAAGCCACAAGTCTACTTACAAGAGAAAACCGTCAAGAATCACAATGATTAATAAGTGTTAACACTTGGTATGTTCAAAGGCTTTTCAGAAATAATGAAAGCTGTGGTTTCCTGGGTGCCACTCCACTCACTCAGTTCTTCATTAGGCCACTGCGCCTCCTCGCCAGCTTAGATCTGTGGGAACAGGATTTTAATGTTGTGATAAGGTGAGAGTTTTCTGAAGAATTTCAAGTGTAGTGTAGGAGAAGTGTGTGTGTGTGTGTGTGTGTGTACCTTATCGTTCCAGCTAGCAGAGGATTAAAAGCATACAGCCAGTCATTCATGTCTTTCTCGTTGTTGGCCTGAAGGAGGATTCCTCGATGTTTTGTGCACACAGCAAACGTGTTGGGAGTCTGAAAAGGAAATATCAAATA